ATTTTTTTTTTTTTTCTCCTGATTTTCTACAGCTGTTAAAAAAATATGCCTGTGTGACTTTTGGAACAATACATTGATTCAGAGGAGCCTTTTTGATAATTATTGTACAATAAGAAAACACATGTAATAACTACAGCATAAATCACCATTCCGTTTAAAAATAGTAATAAAATGGTCCCGGATGCTGAGCAATAACCTCACCGTCTGCCCCTAATAAAACTCTGACCACTAAAACATCCTGCAGCCTATTTCTTTTCTGTTTAATGTATTATAATCCAAAGAATGACAAAATATAATATTCATCAGTAGCTCGTGACAGCCTTAGTGGTGCATTTATTATGGAACTAGATCTACATTTTTTGCAGTTATCTTTTTGATGGTCTTCAGACTTTTGTGTTGAACTAAAAAAAAAAAAAACACATTCTAAAGATAGAGTTTGATGTTAATGTTTTGGACGCTATACAGAACTCTTAAGCAGTTAAAACACACGTAATACATCAGGAATGATAAGTAGTTCTTTACCCCGTATATAGCTAGCTCTTAGTTATAGAAAACATATTTATTGCGCAGGAATAAGGTCTTAGCTCTGTTACACTGGTAGCCAAGTAATCGATATTTTGTTGTCAAGATTCACCTTATTTTTGTTTGTGCAATGACAATAAAGGAAGTCAAAATCCAAGTCTAAGGAATAATGATAACCATCAAATCAGGCTTTTAGTTTACCTGTATCTGTGTCCTCCAGGAAATACTGCAAGATGATGTGAACTCTCCCTGAAGGATACAGGTCCAGCGATAACTCAGAATTGCTTCTGTTTCTAGAAGCCTTGCAGCGCTCCATCAGTTGCGACACACCTATGGTGGCCTTAGCCAAAGGCTCTTCAGAGCTCTTCATGAGGACAACTTCAATGACACGACCCTCATAGATGTGAGCGTCAAAATGTGTCTTCCAACTAGGAAACATGGTGGGCTTCTTTTGGACCAGCGTTTTTCCTCGCTCTGTGGAAAGACAATAGCACAATCAAAAGAAAGTCCCAGGAGTTGACTGCAATCGTTTGGACATCCACAAGCTTACTTTCTCAATGTGAGAGTTCAGGTTAATAATAGTCATAACGATAATCATACACATATACACAGGGACATACCTGTAGTGAGAGATTCCTTAACCCTGATGGCACAGATAGGGGTGTTTTCCATATCGGGCAGAGCACCCATATCATAACCATTCAGGGTAATTCGTAGAAAGGGTGCCATGGTGACCACTCACCTGGGACTCCTGAAAAACAACACAAACCAACAATCAGGTAATGTCTCAATCTAACATAGAGCTGAGCCCAAATCCAGTCTGGTAGATCACAAACTACTGGAGATAATAATCATTTTGAGTCAACCAGCCTGAATCCTGACCTGGACTTGCAAATGGAGCTAAACATCAGGGAGATGGCAAGAAGGAATCATTTCCCTTTAAGAGTTAAAGCTTATCACTGAAGATAATTTACCAAGATACAAACACGAACATGCAAAAAAACTGGTGAGTAATAAGGATGTTAATATTCCTGTCCATAATCAGGAGCAACATCAAGACTGAAACTTCTTTTAAATCTGAATCTGAAAGGGGCTTGAAGTATTTAGGATAGTAACAGTAATACAGAGATATGGCACTTAACAGTCTTTAGTTTCTATAGAGGAAGTAGACGGTTTCTATTCAACTTGGTGCATAATGCAAACTCCTGCTCTAGTAATGGGGGAGGGGCAATTTCAAGCAGGAGCAAGATAAGCCAGTGAGATGGTTTCAATAGGCTAAATATTCAAAAAGAAAATAAAACTGACTAATCTCATATAGTTTTCCTACATGGGTCCATTTAGAACACATTCCTACCTACTTTAAGGTTTCTATTAAAGCACACTCATTAATAAAACTATTTTAAATATCTAGGTGGTAAACCAAAGGATTTAAGCAGTAAAATGCATCAAATTCATTCCTTAATGAAGTTTAATCTCTTAGTGAAGCGTTTCTTTATACACTTCCTCTTAAACCCTGTATGGATTAACCTTTCTCCCCTCAGTCTTGCTCTGCCAGGCTTAAATGTTATCAGGCTCCTATTAGGACTGTGAAAAAGATTAGAATGGAGAAATCACTATGGTGAAATCCTTTTTTAAAGTTTTCTGTAAAATGAAACTATTGATGTTTTACCTGAATTGCTCCATGTTTATTCAAAAGATAAAGACCAAAGTTGCTTCAAACGGGCTCCTTGTGTATGTTGTCTTTATTTCTCAGCCATGAGGCTTGATAAGGTCCTCCCGTAAGTCAGTCATTAAAATGAGCTCATTTCCACTTTATCTGCACAATCAACTGAGACACTTAATCCTCCTTAATGCATCGTGTTTTAAGTATTTTAAATAACATCAGATAAATGTTAAAGGGAGAAAGCTTTAAAGCATATATTCTATATAATTTAAATTTTTCTATTTGATTTAAATCTCCAACCCCAAAGCACCTGCCGCACATTTTATTTCTGTTTTGTAACTCATGCTGGTTAGATTTAATGGTTTGAAAAAAATAATTAAGTAATAAAATCTGCAAAATAGCGAAATAAATTGTTATCAAGTCTGTTCGGTGCAACTCTAGTAGGACAATCACTGTTCGACAATAGAAAAATAAAAGGGGTGTCTGACAAAAATAGAAATTCTGCAGCTCTCTACTGTGAAGAATTCCCAATGCACAGCATAAAATCATTGCTGGACATGTTCAATTTTAAATAATATTTTAATGACATTAGCTACCTCAAACAAAACATGTGAAAGAGAATCAGCCAGCATGTTAAATCCCACCAAAGAAATTAAATCTAAACCATATTACTAGAGTTATGTTTAATTCTTTATTTAATTTCCATTTAGGATTAATTAAGTATTTTTAAACTGAATTGGAACCAATCAGACCAAGTGCTTTAGTGAAAAAACCCACACATAGTTGAACTTAAACTTGAGAAAAACTTATATTATAACTATATTTTCCATTTAAAATGTTTAATTACAATACTAATTGTTATTGTATAGATGTGTTCGTATAGGTAAAAACTGCACCAACTCTCTATTTGAAACAAGGTGTATATATATATATATATATATATATATATATATATATACATATTTTATTTATTTATTTTTACAAGGCCTGTTCTGTCATAAATGTGGCATATATTAACTTGACAAGAACCAGGAGCTAAACACACGTCGGCTCTGTAACTTTGGCAGAAGTTTACAGATAATCAATAATTAGTTACTGCCTAAAAAATTGTAACTCAACCTAAAAACTAGCTTTTTTTTTTTTACACATCGACTTCATAAATTTGGTTGAGGACTAATTTTAATATTACTGTGCACCTATAAATTCTGCAATATTGGTATATTAACCATCTGCCCTAATTGCCTTTAGTGGTTATATGGTGGCTACTGCAGGTGAACATATGAAGTGAAACTAAAATGTTACTGAATTTTAAATCTATCAGTGGCATAACAACCACTATCCCTCTACTCATTCTTCATGCTACAATAAAGACAAGTCAGGCTCCGATAAGCTAGCTGCCACTTTTGTCTCCTGACTGCAGCCCTGCTAACCTCAGTGTCTCCTTGCACCAACCTCTTTGTGTGGCATTTTTCTAAATTAATGCTTTTACATGGGTTGAGGAAGACTTTAAAGCAAGCATATGTCACCTGGAATAAATTTCAATTGTCAACTTTGTAAAACCGGTTTTAGGTAAAAACCTCAGGGAAACATTGAGACATGCTTGCTCTCATGCTTTGTCTCTTACTGAGCTGAATGTCTACATTAGGAGGCTCCAGGACACTGAAGCAGTGCATGCTGTTATGTATGTACACACGTGTGTCTCAGTCAACTAAAAAGGTAATCACAGGGCTATTTTAAGCTCTTGCTGAACAAAGATCTTGTTTTGCTTCACTGAGGTGAACGAAGAATTTAGTTGAACATTTTCCTACAGCAGTTAAGTGACTTTGAAAGGCTATGGAAATTCCCACTCCGACTGGTCCTACTGGTAAGAATTATCAACAAAGAAGAAACCTCAGACGCAGCCACATTAAATCTCAGACACACTTGTTCACTTTTAAGTTGAGTGGTGAACAGAAATAAACTGTAGGATGTGCAGAAAGCTGCTTATGATCTGACCAAGGAAGTGACAACCAGAGCAGAAGTGGCCCTGAGTTATTCATTATTGGAGCCCTTAACCTCCTTTTAATGTCAAATGTTGCTCTGCAGCTGCTTTATCAGAACTGAATCCAGGTTTTGTTTAGACTGCTGTTTAAGACATGTAATAGTTGTTAAAAATTTCCATAGAGATGAATCACATGGGCTAAGAAATTAATATTTTCCAAGTATAAACATAATTATCGACCAAGACACTTTTTTTTTTTGCAATTTGTGTCTTGGGCTCAAAGTATATATTGTAAAACTGCTTAATGGACATTATGCACAAACAGACACCCTGTCTCTCCAGAGGGAGTGGAAAACCTGACTGCTTGTATTTGGGGAAAAGGGTGGGTAAGGAAATGGCTAAAGACTTAAAAAAAAAAAACAAAAAAAAAACACAAATTCCTCGAGGATAACTAGGGGTAAAAGAAAAATAATTTTTTTTCAACCCAGCAGAAAAAAGACCCTAAAGACTGAAAACCTGCAGTGATGAGGTGACAGCATCTTCAGGGAAAAAAAACAAAAAACCATGTGGGTTACCAGGTAATACTGGTAAGAGATTAAAAAATAAAAAAACAAAAAGAAACTTATCAGACACATGAGCAGCATAGTTTGAAGAGTATCCTCATTACAATTTTTACAAGGCAAATGTTCTCTAAAGCATAGATATCTGTAGTTTTAGAGTTAATATAAGACTAGCAACAAATGATACAAAGTAAATATGACAGAAAAGCAGAACTGCATCTGATGGCACCTTAACAAGAACATTTGTGAAACTATTTTAACAACTAACCAGAGATGTATTGTTTAAAGCAGAACAGAGCAAAACATGTTGATTGATGGGTTCATACAACAAAAGCTGACATTTCAACATTATGAAGACTAATTCCTGTTACCACTGTACCTGTGTTGAAGTGTTCTTGACTAATAAAAGTGATTCTGTTAATCAAGTGCCATGCATATATGTATATGAATCAAGTAAGTACTCCACTCCACATTGTTACTTTTAAAAGCGATGAAATATAAATTATAAAGCCATCCGCCAAAGAGAATTTACCATTAAACCCTCAATATAAAGGGAAGGATTTTAAGCTGGAAACTCAGCTTTTATGTTCAAAACATTTTGTTCTGTAAGTTCTGAAAGTATTAATTTGTTTTCTGGTTGTGTTACAGGGTCTGTTCATTTCTCTGGCAGCATTTCAGACACCCTACAGAAAAATAAAAAGTGTCATGGTGAGAGGACAGGAACAATTTGTACAAACTGTGATAGAACTGGGACTAGCTAAAAGGTTCACAATTGTCATTATCATCTACTGTCAGGACATAATGTCAGTTTTAAGAGATCGGGGTTGGTCAAAAGTTAGCTTTAAGGCTATATGAAAAGGCTATTTAATTACTTTTAGGGAATATGAACTACATTTAAAACCTAGTTAAATCTATGTTTGCTAAAGAGGCCATGAAACACTGATTTCTTACACTTTGATTTCCTTTATAAAACCCTCAAAAATCCTATGTTCCTTAGCTTTTTAAAGAATCAAAAATAAAATATTTTCTAGAATTGCCGAAGTATACTGAAATATATTACACTGAGTAAAGATTCCAATTAACAAAATGCTTGCCCCATAAAGACGACAAACAAGTAATAATGCTACATATAGTTTATTGTTTTATTTTGTTAGTTAAACATATCATCATCACGCCCCTGGAATAAAAATAACACCTTAGCTGATTCAACTGAGATTTTGTAATGTTCAAAACAAAATCAAACATTGATATAATAAATTCAAAGTAGTTATAATAGTACTATCTGGGGAAAAGGGGGAACATTTAAAAGATTCTCTGGGTTTTACTATTACCGGTATTGACATTTTAAACAGAAATCAAAAAGAAGTTTGTACTTTTCCATAAGTTGGTCTGTGTTAAAGATAAAACAATCATGGAACCAGAAGCTCATAGCTGTGTACAAAAGGTAGATTAAAATCAAAGTCATGCACAGTAGATGCATTGCAAACAGGTCCTGTAATTCACAGGGCTTCAATTGTGTGATCTGTTCCTTACAGAAAGAAGAGGCC